TTAAAAAGTAAGCTTCATATGGTATTTAGAAGTGAGTTCTATTCTATTTCCCAAATGCACTTTCCTCCTCCATTTAATTCCTAAAATATACCTGACAGGTAACTGGCAGTCTGGGGATGTTGCAGAAAGTGGGATCTAGGATAATTACACTGAAAATCACAAAATTCTGCCCATCATCCTTCTTCCCCAGCTCTCAGTCTCGGACTCCTCCTCACCCTGGGCAGGAACTGCCGAGCAGCAGTTGAGAATTGCTCGCCCAGAATCGGAGGCAAATCTTGCGGAATTCACCAAGGCAGCAGGTCTCTCTCCAGGGCGAGTTCCTACTTGGAGGCCCACGCTTTTGCGTCTGCTGTGCCATCATGCCTGGTTTAGTCACATCCCTCCCAGGTGGCTCAGTTTCTCCAAATGTCAGGTGGAGGCAATATTAAAAGCTGGTAAATTAAATAATAAGGGAATAATTCCTGGATGCTTAGGAAAATATGTACCATTGTTATTATTTCTGAGTTTAGTAGGTTCTTAGTATATCACATTAAAACATTAATTCACTGACCCACCTAGACTTTTCTTGGAATTTCTCAAAATATTAGTTTTTATGTAAGTAGTGTAGCTGCCTTCTATGGAGGAGAAAATACGCTCGTGGGAGGAGCATGGAGACAGCCTTGGCAAGGGCGGCGCGGCGCGGCCAGCGCGATGCTGGGCAGGCAGCGAGCCGACGGGGCTGCACGGCAACATCACAGGCCTGGATGGGCTTGAAGCCACAGAGGAGCCACCAGGGCCCCAGCTGTGCACCACACGGACAGCAGGAGGTGGGGGACAAGTATGCACCAGGTATGTTTATGCAAGAGAAAAGAGGAGAGAAGGAAAATCAGCTACTTGCTCCTGTGTCTCAGGCCTACCCAGATGCAATGTGGCTTTGCTCCTCCTCACTGAGAGGTCTGCTCAGAAAACCCTCCAAAGATGGCAGTCCTGGGAGGACTGAGTCACTATCACACAGGCTATGACCTTCCTATGGGAGAGTCCTTGTGGGTAGGAGGGCAGAAGCGACAATAACGTATTGCCAAACTTCCTCTGGCAGGCATCAGAAATCTTTTCTGGGCTGCGTGGCTTCTTTGAGCCGCATGGCGGCCCAGCCACGGAGACTGTAGCTGAATTTCCTGTGCTGTTCTCCAGTCTCCACGTCTAGTTCAGCTCTGTCACCAGAGCCACACTCTTGATTGCATTCTCTCATGCCTTCGTTCTGCTGATGTGTCTGCTAAATGGAACAGTTAATTCAATAAATCCCACTTCATTATCAAAATTCTCTTTCTCCAACCATTCTGTTGGCCAGGACTATTCTCTTATTGTGGTTGCATTCCTTTTGTTACGAGAATCGCTATTATTCATGTTAGTCATATTACTAATAATGCTCTATCTCATGGCAAAAAGCATCACAGTTACAGACTTGCTGAAAATCATCTTATCACAGTGTGCCTGTGTCTCCAAACAGCAAATCCTGGCAGGAAGCCATGAAAAGAACAGAGAAAGGTTATTGTACAGCCCATCACCCTTTGGACTTCGTAAGTCAGGAAAGCGCATTTCCTGAGAACCTCAGGGTGCAGGGCAGTGTGACAAGGATGGGAATGCATGGGCTTACTCTGAGACCCCACATATCTCCAACCCGGGAAGCCGGGCTAGCAGTTGAGATGCTGGGGAGATGGAAGCCTCAAAGCCACGCTGCCAAGCAGTATTGCTCCACCAAAAATGAAAAGAAAAGAGCAAAAACCAAAATTTCAAAGTATCTTCAGAGCTCTGGAAGAAGCTTGGGGTGAAAAGAATGGTATCTCAGGAGCTTTGTGAAGGACCCCAGGCATCTTCCACTCTATGAATCTGAGCCAAACAAAACCTTCAGAGAGTTCAAGTACAATGCTGATGTCCAGAGCCACTGGGATGCTCCGTGGGGTGGGTGGGACAGTGGGGTGCCAGGGGACCAGAGAGTACAAACTACTTCACAGGGACAAATAAATAAATATATGTTGGTGGCTCTGCTCTGCTGAGCCCAGGGGTGAGGAGAGAGACGCAGGTTAGTAGTCCTAACTGCCACTTGAATAACTCCCTGTGCGCCCGGCAGCCTTTATTCTGTGGGAAGTTGTCAATGCAACTCTTGGATGGGCAGGTTTGTTATCAGCAAGTGGTTTACAGCCCCTGGGCTGTGCATTAATTAAAACAGCTTTGTGCCCGGCCTCATTCATTAGCACGCTGCTTCCTTAATCACTGCCTCTTCAGCCACCAGGACAATCTATAAATCTTCTCGAATATGAAATAATGAAGTGGAATGGTTCAATTTATTACAATGCAATAAGTCAGGGTAATAGGAGGGTAGACAGGGTGGCACCAGGGCGGGTCGCCTGCCCAGTGCCCTCCCTCCTCATTGCCCGAGGGGCTAGGACTCGTGGCACTCCGTGCCCTTGGAGTTCTCCTCCAGAGGGGCACAGACCCCAGGAGAAAGGACGCCTGGAGGGACAGAAACGAGCCCAGAGGGTGCAGAGCTGATGGCCACCTCCACAAAGCTTGGGTCTGTGGGTCTGGGAGGGGGCCGGCAGGGACAACCTCCCCCTCCTATGATGAGGCTGCCCAGGCAGACATCGCAGGCCCAAAGGAGCTTGGCACGGGAGGGCAGGTCTCCTGCACAGAAGCCAGGACCCTCCAGTCCACACGGGGCCCCTCCCTCCCTGCGTCAGAATCAGGTGCAGAGCTTTCAGAAACATGACGGACTACAGTGGACTCTCTAGGGTGAGGCTGGGCATCCGCACTTACCGAAGGCTCCCTGGTAAGTGAGACGTGCAGCCCCGTGGAGAGCCACGTGCTCCGTCTTGCAGGACTCACTGGGGTGCTGCTTAGCTCCCAGGCTCCTCCTAGGGGCTGGTTGATCAGTTTGGGGTGTGCAACCAAAGAATCAATACTTTTATCAAGTTCCCAAAAGATTCACAGGGTAAGACATTTTTGGAAAACACAAGCTGCCTCTAAAGAAGTCTAGCCTTTCTGTCGTGTCCCCTTCCCCCTGAATCAATGACGCTTACTCTTCCCCCACTGCAAGACACGTGGTGGATGCCATTTATGTGACTGACACACTTCCATGGGGAAACCAGATTTTTCCTAAGACTGTGATAAATATAATAAACTACATGACTGTGTAATTTTCTGTGTGCTAACTATAAACTCCTTGCTACTTTCATTCACTGATTCTTAACAACCCCATATGCCCAAAGCTCTGTCTCCAGTGGCACTGGTGGCTTATAAAATTAGAGTTCCCCGTTCTGTCCATTCCTCCCCAATTCCCATCTCTGAGATGCTCTGTGACCAGAAACAAGCAGCAGGGCCCGCCTCTTAGATGAAATCAATGAGATGCTTTGGACCACAACCCTGTGCCAAATAGAATCAACCGCACGCTAGCCCTTGGGGGCCGCCATTTACGAATCATTCTCTCCAGAAGACCCCCATGGCTTCTAGAAATGAGGCCCCAGGTTTTACATTTGTGTGCAGAGATAACCTGAGGCCAAACCCTGAGGAGTGGCCAGAACTGGTTTGAAGAGGAACCAGCTGAGTCGCAGCGGCTGCTCGGGTGCAGGTGTTTGCCAACGTGCTGTAGTGCGCTGTCACTCCTCGGCTTCCCAGGCATGTTCAGTCACTGCAAACGGCAGTTCCCGTCCTCTGGCTCTCTCTGACATCCTCCGGGAGGAGGGGGGCAGCTCTGCAGCTCCATGGCCAGGTGTCCTCCACCCAGCCTCTGCAACCCACGTCGGCTCTAGCTTCCCGGAGGAACCTGGAAGGACGAGGGCAGGAAGGAGCCAGCACTGCCCTCCTTGGAGTCATGGGAAGTGAGTTGGTAGTGTCCCAGGGGTGGGGGAGCCTGGGCTTGGAACGGGGCAGCACAGGCCACGACAAGCCTTTCCTTGATGGCGTTCACTGTCGGAAAGAGACACCTCATGGAGCTGGGAGCCTGGGAGCTACCCGTGGCCCCAGCCCATCAGGATCCAAATGCCATTCAGTCGGGAACCTGCAGGAACAAGATCTACAGCAAATAGCATTGCTGCTTGCCTCAAGGCTGTCAGTCAGCCCACCCCACACGCTCTGCCTCTTTCCCCTCCTTTTTACTGCGTAACGCGGTATGGACTGGATGGTTTTGTCCTCTCGATCGATATCCACAGGTTGAAGCCCTAACCCTAATGTGATAGCATTTGCAGGAGGCGTCTTTGGGAAGGAATCAGGTCTTGAGGGTGGAGCCCTCATAAATGGAATTAGTGCCCTTGTAAGAAGAGACAAGAGAGAGTTGTGTGTTCCCTCTCCCCCCACTCTCTCCCCCCACTCTCTCGCCCCCTCTCTGTCTCTCTTTCTCTCCCCCCATTCCTCTCCCTGCCGTGTGAGGACACAGGGAGAAGACAGCCATCTGCAAACCAGGAACCAGGTCCTCACTAGACACCAGATCTGCCCACGCCTTGATCTTGGACTTCCCAGCTTCCAGAACGGTGAGAAATAAATGTCTGCTGTATAAGCCACCCAGTCTGCGGTAATCTGTTATAGCAGCTCCAGCTAGGACATAGCACTTACACCTGCTCATCTGCTCTCACATGTACAGATTTATTGCGTTTATTTTCTATTATCTCTTTCCTCCTGCTAGCAGATAAGCTCCACAAGGGCAGGGATCATGGTTTGTTTTGTATACTGATATATCACAATTGCTTCCAGCAGTGCCTGGCACACAGTAGGCGCTCCATAAGTACTCAGGGAGGGATGGTGGGCACAGGAGGGACTGGACAGCGGGAATGCGAGTTGCCCACTCCCTTTCTTGCCCCAGGAGAAGGGAGACATGCGAGGGAGAGAAAGTGTGTGCACTTTTCATGTCTCTGCCTATCCTGGGCATTCAGACGGCTTTGGACTGTCTTTGTTTATTTATTTTTATTGTTGTTGGTTTTGTTTTTGTTTTTGAAATTTTAATACAATTCAAATCAGCACGTCTGGTTGGTTCATTTCAGCTCCTTCACTGCCCAGCCAGGGTGCAGGGACTGCTTCGGTCTCCCTGCCTTCTCTTTGTCTGTGGTGACCAAGGTATAAAGGTATCTGCTGCATTTAACTTTAAACTTCACATTATTCTTATTTTTCTCAATCCTGGAAGATTTGGCACCCTTCCTCCTGGCTGTGAGCAGAAAGTTCATGATTTCCTCAATGTCTCAAAGCACAGGGAGAGGGCACAGCCTGTGTACTGCCCGAGAGACCTGGACTGTCTTCATGATCTGTGAACTAAGAAGCCAGGAGGTCACCCCCCCGCCAAGCCCCAGGCGGCATCCCACCACTCTCCTCAGCAAAGGCCCGTCTCTCCCATTCCATGTTGGTTAAGGGCAGTGAGCAATCAGACCCCCACTGAAATATTGGTTGTTCTTGCTTAACCAGGTGACAAATAACGTGCTTAATAAATTATAAATCATAAACTACTGCATAAAAACCCAGTATCAATTTTAATAATTTAAAGTGATTTATTAACATGCTCCCACAGTGTTAGCAGTGTCTGTTATTTCTCACGTCCCCGCAACTCACTGCGAATGAGGAAAGGGAGCTTGACAAGGTGAGTGAAGAGACAGAGGAGGCTGGCTTGATGGGTGGGGTGAGGAGTGACATCAGCACCAGCAGAATGAAACGAGAAAGGACATCACCCCTCCAGGTCACCAGATGGTTCCAGGAAATTTCTAAATATCCATGAGCCCCTTTTGCCCTCTCCCCTTTCCAGAAGAGGTCAGAAGATCACAAAGCCTTCTATGAAGGCTTTCTTTTCTAACCCCCTCTCCTCTGGACAACCACTTATTCTGCTGATCTCTGCTGGACTATGCCAAGCACCTGCCCATGACTTGGGACCCTGGCACAGGAGACGAGGGGTCTGTTCACACCGGTTGGACGGATGGACAGATGCCTGGGTCTGTTCGCTGGTGTACGGGGCTCCTTCCCCGCGCAGCCTCTCTGCTTCCTCCGCCATCTAGCACAGGTGCAGGGCCGTCCTCAGACGGGCACCAGGCCCAGGACGCCCCATCCTTGGCAGTGCGGGACTCAGCCGAAACGACTGCAGTTATCAAGAGGATACCCCACTTTTAGTAGCTCTTGTTTAAAGACAGGAATTCCAAAATCAAATCAGAAAGACAGTCAGAAGGGGAGTGGGCAGCCCCTTTGCAAGCCCCCTGCCCACCCACCCAAGCTGACGGGGCGGTGGTGTTTCCAGTTGTCTCCCTGCCAGAGAGGAGTGTGGCAGGGACTGGACACTTGTAGGTCGTCAAGTGGATTCGAACACGGCAGGTGCCGTCTCCAGAGCTTAGGGAACAGGGAGCCGTGCCGCCTTGTGGTTTCAGCACCGGGACCCTGGAGCGCCTGCCCCTGCCTGGCACCGGGCGGGCCGTGTGGCTCGGGCAGGGCACATAACCTCTTGTGCCTCCATTTCTTCTGCTGGAAAGTGGGAAATCCTAAAAGTCCCTCCTCGCAGGGCGCTGTGAAGCCTGGGTGAGTGAATAAGGCAGAGTGCCCAGAGGAGCTCCCGGCAGGCAGTGCTGTGGAAGGGTTTCCCGTCAGCAGCCTTGCCAGCATCTCGCTTGGGGTCAGGCAGCCCTGGGTTCAAATCCTGCTTGGCCCTTTGCCAGCTGTGCTGTGAGTCTCAGGATGATGAGTTTGTCTGGGCTCCCTGTCTGTAAAATGGGAATGATTACCTCACATCCAAAAGCAGTTGAGGGGAGTAGATGACAAGATGCACATAAAATTCAGGGTCTGACATGTTGTTAATGCTCAAAAATAGTGCTAACACTGATTATGACTAATATTAACCATTGTAGCTAACTGTCGTTTGTGCTTTGGGGTAGACAACACAGGTTTAAAGAGCAGACGGCCCCTTCCTATTTGACACAAGCCTCCCAGCTGCCTCTTCCTCACGTACGCACGCGTGTCTGTGATCCCGGATGGCGTCACAGAACAAACTGCACAAAGGAAGACCTGGTCTCCCGAAGGCCACCAGAGTCTGACCTGCCTCGGGCCTGCGTTTCTCTCCACTACCTATCGGAGCCAAGCTGTCTAGGGTTCTTCACTCCCCTCACTTCCTGCTTCCGAAACACACAGACCCCAGGCAGAATCTGGGGACAATTCCTTTGCTCCCCCAACCCCACAAAAAGACAAAATGAATATATTGAGAAATAAGGGAAGGATGCAGAGACAGGGACAGAGATGTGACAGGGAAGCAGGAAGAGGGTGGCAAGCAGAAGGCAGGGTCACTCCGGGAGCAACGCGCTTGGCTTCCCTTTGTGGAGAGACCCGCCAACCCGAGGCGTTGCCGTGTGAACACAGGTGAAATCGCACCACCGTGAGCACAAAGCCAGACACTTGCTCACAGACCTATTAGCTGGTAAACAGCAATGTTCTGTTAATTCCAGCTATTAAAAACAGCTTAAAGAGAAATCAAATCTCATTTAGCAGGGATTGCAGGGGTCTTCTTGGACTATTTTAAAGTTTCATATTCATCTAAGGAAACGGGCTCTAATTCTCCGATGTTGGCTTTCTTGGAGGCAATCCCATTTCCAAGCTTATTAAACATCCATTTAAAGGGACGAGGGGAGTTTGTGAATGTTCCCCCCCAGACGGCAGTGGGGCTATGAATGATTTTCTAAGTCAAGGGAAGCCACAGGGACAGGTGGAACATTTCCTACAATTTGCATATGAAACAAGGTTGTCTCTGCTTTACTCCCACTGTAAAAGAAGTCTGCATAATTTGGGAGGGGGTCTTTACACAGATTCAGTTCATGAGGTCAGGCTATGCACGAGCACAAAGGCAAGGGGTCTCACCATCTCTGGAGTGTCAAAGGAGGCTGTCTGCGCCAGTGCCTGTCAGCTGTCTACACTGTGGCCATGTTCTCTCGCAGAACCTGGAGAACTCTGATAGGCTTCTTTTCGGGAAACACTAGCATCAACAGTCTGAGGTCAGGAAAGCCGAGTTCTTTTGCAAGCTATCAAACCTATGAATGCGTTAAATTTTAAGTATCAGAGTTGAAAAGAGTCAGCTAACACTTGCTTACCTGATTCTCAATCTATGCCTGTCCAGTAGCTAAGAGCTAAATAAGCCTAAAAACAAAAAGATGACCTTACAAGTCAGCCAGCTGGCAGATGAGAAATCGAATCAGGTTCTCCATGTTCCCGGTTCGATGGCCCCACTACCAGCTCAAATTACTTGTCTTCCTTCCCTTGGAAGTATAATTCTTTGTCTCCAAATCCTTTTGGTCTTAGACTTCTCAGAATAACTCTCCTGAACATGAGTGAGCAGGCTTTAGCCTAATTATCCTCTGCAACTACAAGCGAAGACCAGATTTTTATTCTGTATTTTTATTGATCAGAAACCAAACTTATTAGATCTTTTCAAGAATAATGCTGTTTGAATCCTTCCAAAAATAGAATGCATGTATCCATATTCCCAAACCTCATGAGCAATGCAATGCTAATTGGTCCCTGGAAATTACAGGCAATGGGTCATTCTCTAAGCATAAGACTCAATACACCCAAGTAAAAATGTCCCCTAAATCCCCTTTAATTACCATTCACTTCCTGTACACCTCCTTTTTCATCACTGCTGATTACAGATACATCCATGTCTGAATAATATCTTCCCACTTTATAATCAGACAACTACCACTTACTCTGATAACCTGAGACACTCTAAGTATGATTTTGCCTGCAGAATACTCAGTCTGCGTTTGGTCTCTTTTCAGGGGGTAGGCAAATTACCATACCCTTGGAGGCAGAAAGCTGACTAGAACAACATACTAAGAAGATGCCCTGCCCAAGGTGAGACTCCGACACAGCTCTAAATACGTGCTACTGAAAGTTCCCATCCCGATGCTGCAGTGGAGGGGTGCTGCCTCTGTCCCCCAGAGCTCAAGCTTGCCAGCCTCAGGCTCACACCATGTCTTCTACAACAAGCCAGGCTGCTCAAAAGGATCTATTTTCATGATAGGAATGACTGTTTCTTAACTATATAATATTGCATGACCCTCTGGTTTAAAAATTGCCCCATCTATAGAGTTTCATCTCATTGGATTCAAACAGAAGCTTTAGTAGAGAAGGATTATTAGTGCTCCTAGTTTACATATGGGGGGAAAGAGACCAGAAGACCCACCCCTGTCACCACAGAGGAAGCAGCCCCTCTGGAATGGAACTTAATTCCATGTAACAGGCATGACGTAACGCAGGTCGTAACGCAGAGACGGTGTGGGTGCCAAAAGCAAGCCCAGCATGAGCCAGAGCCTGGGGTTCTAGCCCTGAATCCACCACCTCGCAGTCACCATGGATATGGAATCTAAATTCTCCAGGGTGGTGTTTGTTCTCAACTTGGCTGGAAATTGGAGTCGCGTGGGGAGTTTTGGCAAAACTGATGCCTGGGCCCACCCCCAGCATTCTGATATAATTGGTCTGGGTGGCAGGAGTTTTTAAGACTCTCCCAAGAGATATTTCATGCAAGCATGCTTGAGAAGCCACCGCTCTAAGGCCTCAGTTTCTCTGCCTGTGAGAGGACAGTGATAATGTGCATCCCATAAGATTATAGTCCCGCTAGCAAAATACAAGATAGGCTGTCTGGAAAAATATTGTGGAAGGAAATGATCTCTACATTTTAAGTGAATCAAAGGAGAATTCAGGAGTGTTTCAAAGCCACTCAAGATTGGACCCCAAAATGGTTTTCTCTCCAGGGATCTAGGAGGCTTTAGAACGCAAGCTATATCAACCACTAGGATAACTTTGAATAGAAAACTTTCCTGTAAATTTCCTAGCAGAGCCAGAATTTGACACAAAGAGGGCCAGTTTCCAGACATCGCTCTATGAACCAGACTCTTTCCAGGCCCTGAGCTCTGCTTGCTCGTTCACGTGGTTGGCCGGACTTTGTGCCGGGCGCTGTGCCAGGTGCTGCAGTGGACAGGAGGGTAAGGCACACCTTTGCCATCATGGATCCCCAGCCTGGACAATCCCAACAGTCCGTGTTGTCATCAAGCAATGGCCAATAAACACTCAGGGGCCTCTCAGAACTGGGAGACACTTAATTTTCCTCAGAAGGATTGCCTCACAGGAGAGGAGGCATCTGGCCTGGGTCTTGAAGGAAGAGTACAAGCTTGCCATAGAGACAGGGTTATATCAAAGACATAGAGTGTTCAGAGACTAGTATGTTCAGTAGAGGGTGAGAACTCTGACGCTTTGCTAGGGCATCTAGACTTCTTATCGCCATTTTACAGTCAAGAAAACTGATGCCAGAGAGTTTTAAGTGACAAGCTCAAGGTCACATACAATGGAGAGTTAAAAGTGGCTTTTGAGCAAGGAAGTAGCATGATGATAATTTTCCTTAGAAAGCTAATTCAAAGAACAGTTGGAAGAAGAGCTGACGGCAGGGAGCCCAGATGTGCAGCAGCACAGGGGAATGATGATGTCAGACCTGAGCTCAGGAGTTGGCTGTGAGGGGAAGAAGAGGCACTGGATCCTAGAGACATGCCTGGGTACAGGTGCTGGTGATGATGCTGGGAGAGAGAGAAGAGGGTCTGGGTTATTGCACAAATACAGTCTGCAACACTCCACCCAAGCCCAGACTCTGTGGACCCAAAGCCTGCACGTTGATCATTCTGCAGGGACACCAGTCCGGTGTGCTTGACTACCAGTGCTTCCTAAACTTTGAGACTGATGCAAGTTGGTAATCACTTGAAAATTTCCAATTAAACGTAAAAAAAGAAAAAAAACAAGTAAACCTATTCTTTCTTTTGACTGCTCTATTGATTAAAATGAATGTCTGTGCTGGGACCGCTGAACCATGAAAAGCAATCTGTCTTAGATGGGTAACAGATCGTTAGAAAATCATTGGGTTGAAGGAAAGAGTCAAGAAAAAAAAATTTGCACAGATCCACGTGTGGGGGTGTCAGTGTGCCTATCTGCAGCTACATAGCCGGGTATAGATATGTGCATGTCTATATATAGGGGACATATGCCACATACTTCAATCAGCACCACGAGCCAAAGGCACAGGCAAGATTCCTGACAGAGTGGCACCCTGATGGCTCTGCAGACTCTGAGCCATCCTGCAGGGTGCACACGGGCGGGGACAGGGAAATGGGGGGCTATTCAGATAATAAATTCAGCTCTCAAGCATTCCTATCTGACGTGTGAATTTGACAGAACCTACAACATTGTACTTCAAGACCATTCTCTGAGAAATTTGGAAAAACAAGTGGCATTAATATGTATGTTTCTAATTTCATCAAAATGTTAGTTTATGAGAGCTGTTCTACATACAAGAAACCTTTTGCTTAAGAAGAGAGAAAAAAGGAAGATAAGAAAGAATGAACTCTCAGTTGCTATTCTCTACCCCTAAATAAAATAAGCTATGGTCAGTTCTGCAAGGTACACCATAGAGTTTAAATCATAATCAACCCATCTGTAGAAGATTCTGAAATGAAGTGTTTGCTCTCCACAAAATCCCCTTCAACAGGGTTAGCATGGAAAAAATGGGGAGCCTTCCATCAAAACAGACAAGTAAAAGTGAAAGAGGAGGGGCTCTTCTCCCTGCTAGGATAGCTTGCTCTGTCACGTGTCCACGAGCTAAGGTATCCACATCAGCCCTGTGGCCTCTCGTGAATGGCATCTACACTCCCTTCTTCAATATCTTCATCTCTGTGGTCTGACCATGCTCCATCCCAGCCTTATCTCTCTTCCCTTTCAGGGGCTCTCTCCCCCACCAACATACAGGACACCTGGTTTCAGAACACTATTTTGGTTTATGCAGTTGCTGGAACAGTGGGGGCCCTCAATGGGGCCTTTAGTGACATCATCTCAGCCCACACGGAGGGAGGGAAGCTGAGCACAGTACTCTTTATCTTCCAGGTCAAGTCTAAGGAAACGGAGATTCAGCTGGAAAAGCTTTTTGAGTACTCTCAACCAACCACGTCCCATAATGGAATTCACGTCTTCCTTACTTGCTAGCTATGCCGCCTTGAGCACCTTGGTTAAACCATTTGGGCTTCAGCTTTCTTACCTGTAAAATGGGATTAATAGTTACCATGACGGTAGCTGTCCATAGCACTTAACAAATTGATTTATACCCTTGATAAAGTTAAAGATTTTCTGAAAATCTGGAAGCAGTTTTTGATCTGCTGTTGTTTACCATCTGAGATATGTGAGTTGGCTGTTTCCCACCTCCTCAGAGGCTAATGATGAGGCCTAGTTGACTAAATGCATGTAAAATTTTCTTGGAAAACTACCTGGTACAAAGTAAGTATTGCTATTCATTTTCTTTGTTCAGGTGCTGAAGAATAATGATAGGAACTAAATTTTTTCACAAAGAGTATGAAATATCATGCCAGCACTGATACTATTAAATATTCAGTATTAAATACTAAGTCAAGAACACAGTACAGAGATATAGAGAGTAAGAAAAAGGACTTATCTAAAAAGTGTTGAAAATGAGAATGGGCAATGTTTCTAATGGAATTGGAAGAGGAGACCAAATGACCCTGTAAAACTTCCCTTTAAGCCAGGCCCACAAGTGCATCCTATTTATAGGGACCGTGCTGGTGCTGGGACTACAAATGGACGTGGACCTGCTGTGGACAAGCAGGTTAGTAAGGGTGACACCAAAGGCTGAGCAGTCCCTGGCCTAGAATAGGCACTCAGTGCTTAATGAGTGAAAGGAAAGATTTGAGAATGAACGAATAAATAAAAACTATGAAAATAATGCATACCAATCACTTGCATAGGAAATGCTTTTGAGAAAAACTCTGCTAATAAGGAAGTCCATTACCCTTTTGAGCTCAATTAACCTTTTATTTCAATGCACATAAATAATTATTTAATACTCATTAGTAGGTATGTAGGGTACAATAAATACATGGCATTTCTGGATTCACATAGGATATTCTAATTCCCAGAAAGTTGTAATGCATCTCACGCTGGAGAGTGTTTACTCCATTTATGTTTTATCCTTCCTTTCTTTGTAAAGTTAGGGGGTTTTCATAGATAAAATTTGATTTAAAAAAAAATAGTGACCTCTAATAATTAAGTTTCTAGAAAGTATAAGAACCTAAAGAGACTGTGAAAATATATTAAATGGTACATGCATAAAGGATTAATTGGATGCCTCTTTTAATTTGCTTTTCCCAATCAAGATGTGCCATCCTCCAGTTTAAATAGCTGTCAATAGCACCTGCAAATTGATTTATCCCTTGATGAAGTTAAAGATTTTCTGAAAATCTGGAAACAGTTTTTGAAACCTTGTTGTTATTTAGCATCTGAGACTTATGAGCTGTTTTTCTCACAATTTTCCATCTTAGAATCCTTGTATCTGCATAAATCTGGAGAACAACTTGCCTTTTCCTTAAATATATGAACATAGAAATGCAATAGAAGTTGCTTATCATGCACTCAGGTTGGGCAAAGTTGTATCATAATGAAGCTAAATGAAATTCCCAGATTGCCCTGGTGGAGAGGAATGCCATGATATTCCACTTGTGGAAGTGTCTCTATGCCAAAAATAAAATTGTATCAGCCTCAGTACAGGAGAAATCGGAGTTTCTGCTTGCAGCAGCAGAGGAACCGTTCAGGAACACAGAGGTTTCGGGGTGTATGTAGAGCAGCCTTGCTGGATGGGGTCGGTGGGATGTGGAGGAGGCTCGTTCCTAAACTCTTTGAATGTCTCTTCCCAGTCCTTCTGTGTGTGTGCGTGCGTGTGCTTGTGCGTGCACGTACACATGAGTGTTGACTTCAGGTACGGAGAATTGACTTATTTATGGGCACACTATACCACTGGTTCACACATAGGCCCATTTATGTGCCATTCTTCACCCCTGTTTCCTTCTGTTCCACAGGCAACCATCTGAACATCTTTGAGAGAGAGAGAGGAAGGGATGGGAGGGGAAGAGAAGGGAAGGAGAGAAGAGGGAAGGGAGGCAGACATACATAAATAGATAGTTGTGTGTGTATACACACACGTATATTCCTTTATTTATATGTGTTCTTGTAAAACATGTTATTTGATTTGTTTACATGTATTTTACTTTACCCATATTGTATTGTGTTATAGACCTCGCTCAGTTTCTTTTTACATTGAACACTGTGGTTTTAAGATCTAGCCATGCTATGCTGGATAGAACTGTTCTGTTGCTTTTAAATGTGTCATTGTAATTCACAGTGTGATTCCATCTTGCTTTATTTATCCAGTTCTCCATCGACATACATCGCTCCACTACCATGAACAATGCTGTGATGAACATCCTTGTATGTGTGCCTGCATTGGCCCGGAGAAAGCTTTCTGGGATATATAGCCAGGAGGGAACTGCTTGATAGTAGGGCACGTGTATACTTAATTTAAGCCAAGACTGTGAGATTGCTCTTCAAAATGGTGGCCTCAGTCTATACTCCCACCATGAAGGTTCTGTGTGTCTCCACACCCTCATTGACATATCAACCAGCTTGCTAATCACTGCCAATTACATGGGACTATCAACTTTATTTAATTTCCAATAATTTTTGGCATCTCTTTGTATTGCTTATTTGGTTTAATTTGGTTTCATCCCGTACAAATTTGCTACTCTTATCTTATTTTTCTGTTGCAGTTCTTGTCTTTCTCTTGCTGAGCTGCAAGAGTTTTCTAGGTGTTACTCTCTAGTCAGTTTATCATCATATTAATACATGTCATCTCTCAATCTGTTACTGCAGATTTTATCTGTGATATTTTGTTGAACAGATAGCTTTAATCTTGCTGTAATCAAATTTTGCCTTTATGTATTTTTTGTACTTTAAGTGTTTCAAAAAGTTTTCCCAGCCTTGGGTCACAAAGATTTCCCTAGCATTACTGTCTATTAACTCTGACTCGGGTGAGGCAAAGGCAACATATGTAACCTAAACATTTGTACCCCCAAATGTTCTGAAATTTAAAAAAAAACAATTCAGCATGTTAATTTGCAAAAATAAAATAAAATTAAGCTTTACCTTTCAGATTTAGGTCTATAATTAATCTGGGGTCCACCTTTGTACATGGTTTCAGCCGGGGATCCAAAGGTGTTTTTCCTCATGTCGTAAGCCCGTTTCCGCAGTCACATCGATTAAAGAGACAGTTTCTTCATGACTGTTTTTTTGAACCACCTATAAAATGCATTAAATAAATTTGGTTCTATCTCTGAGGAGCCTGTTTTGCCTCACTGGTCTATGTGTGTGTTCTTACACTCGTGTCCACATGTTTAATTACTGTGACGTTACGGTGCATCTTAATGCAGGACAACAATGCTCTTCTTTTTAAAATTGGACTTAGCTATACAGGGACTTTTTTCCTCTCAAATAAATTTTAGAATAAATTTATTGAATTCTTTAAAAAAAAATCCAGCTAGCACATTGATTGGAAATATGTATTGAATTTACAGATTAATCTAGAAATATTGACATCTTTATTATGATAAATTATATTTTATGAAAGTATTTAGCATATATTTGGATTATTTCTACATTCCCATAATAGATATTTATATTCTTCCATAAATACCTAGTGTGTTCTTTACTAATTACTACATATTTTGGTTTTGTTTTGGCTGTTACAGGTGGTATCTTAGATTTTAAAAATATTCTAGTTGGTTACACTGAGTATACAGAAATGCATTTGATCTTTTTAAGTTAATATTATATCTAAACACTTCACTTGCCCCTGCTTTTAGTTGTACTGGTTTAATTCTATTAGTTTTTCTTTACACATGATCATATTATCTGCCAGTACATTTTCTGATCTTCCAATCATTTCCCTTTTGACTTATTTTTTGTATTTATTCTTTTCCAAAAAGCATTTTAACGCATTTGCTTCAATTCAGATTAATTTGAGGTCGGTTTAACCCACAGTTTTGGCTATCTCCCCGAGACTCAAATGGCGTCTTCTCTTTTTGAGAGATCTCAACACTCCCATTCATTTGGGAGAGTCCTGTAAAATTTCCAGAGATTTGACTAAAATACCTATCGCATTCTGTGGATGGGGAAATAAAAGCAGCTAAAAAACATTTATTGAAGGAATATTGGAACTTTTTTTTCCAAACCCAAGGGTAGAAATAAATTTAGCTGCGGAGGTGTCGTGACAGCTATTTCCTGAATGCCTGTGCGAGGGGTGATTGCCGAGTTTGAATTGTGTATATATAGATAAATACTGTTTTTTCAACGTGCCACATCCTCTTCAAACCATTTTCTACATATTACCTCATTTCATTTAACAGACCCTTGAAGCGGGTATTTTCCCCATTTCACAGGTGGTGAAACTGAGGCAGAACGAGGTTGACTACTTTGCCAGAGCCCACACGGTGAGGGAGAGCCAGAGCCAGGACTCCGACTGCGGCAGGCAGGTCCCAGGGTCTGCGCCCTTCGCCCCGCAGCCACCCTGGTGCCAGCACGCTGCCATCCTCAGAGGGAAGGCCAGCTCGCTCGGGAGCGATCAGCAGGCAGCTCTGTGTCATCGCCTGTATTAGCCAGTGTTGTTTTAACCTCCTTTTGGGCGCAGTTAAGTGGAACGGGAGAGATTCCTTCATTACCATGACCTTGGTCTTCTTCTTTGTGTTCCCTTCAGTCCGACTGGTAGACCCCTAAACAAAACAGTTAAGTCCACCCGGAGTCCCGAAGAACACTCGACCACGGAAAAAGGGAAGCGAGCAGGGCCCGCAGTGCTCGCGGCTCGCAGCCACGCTGTTCCCACCCACAGAAGCGGCCACCAGGCTCCCCGCCTGGAAGACGGGCACGGGACTCTGCGTTCCCAGGAGAAGCACTCCAAACTATTATCTTGTTCTGAGTACTGAAAAATCCCAGATCAGACGCGTCTGTATTCAAAGGGGACTGCCCGTTCCCCGCCCCCACCTCAAACACTCCAAGTCCCAGATGCAGAGACTACCATTCTGGTTTATAGACATCGCGGTTAGAGAGAGCGTTGGTTCTTTCTGCTTAGATAATTGAGAGACGGCGAGATAATAGCGTATTGTCTGTCTGTAAAACCAAACAAGTCTTCTAAATCTTGATGAGGCGAATTTCATGGTACAAGAATAGGCAGAAAGTTTGCAGCTCAATTTGGCTCTGCATTGGCAGCTGTAGGCAGCACAGGTTACACTGAAGGGACAGGCTGGTCCGCGCGGCTAAAGCCTCGCTGGAGGGACGCGGCCTGGTAAAGCTCGCTGTCTCCAGCTAAAGCGTGTGACATGGGTGTTTCTTCACACACACACACACACACACACACACACACACACACCCCTCCTCGCATGTGGTTTTCCCCTGATGGATCAATGAGTCTGGGTTCCGATGGAGTCTCAGACATCAGAGTGTCTGTTTTCAAGCTATCATTGTGTTCACAACTGCCAGAAATAAGTCGCCTCAGCAAACTGGAATTGTGGCAATTTTGCAATACATAAAATTGATTTATGCTTACAATCAAAATGTATTTCCCTTGATAATTTATGCTCAACAATTTAACATAATTATTTGTGCCACTATTTTAACATTTCTGGCTCCCTGACTGTCAACCCTGGAGTACAAACATACACACGCACTTATACACAACATAAAAAACACTATCCTTCAAAGGCGGGATTTA